TTTTAATTAAAGCATTCTACCACAAAATAATATACTTTGCTTTTCTATTGCACCTCTCATCCTGAAATCCTCAAATACTTTACAGACATGAATGGATTAAAATTGTCAGCAATTAAGAATCATAGGCAGAAGGAGAGAAGAAACTCTCTATAAAGCAGCTAAATATAAAGGTAAAGTTCTTTTATCAGATGTGAGAACTGACAGAAAGGTTAAGATGTTTATTTGTGGCTGCACAGTTAGTCTTTGGGAAAAAAAAACCCCAAAATTCCTGATGCCCAGACTTGCCTTTAAGTGAAGACCATCATTTCTTACTAGCACCACAAAGAAAACAAAGATATGTGAGAACTGACAGAAAGGTTAAGATGTTTATTTGTGGCTGCACAGTTAGTCTTTGGGAAAAAAAACCCCAAAATTCCTGATGCCCAGACTTGCCTTTAAGTGAAGACCATCATTTCTTACTAGCACCACAAAGAAAACAAAGATGAGAGAAGAGAAGAGAAAGAAGAGAAAAGTTACAATAACCAGAAGTAAATAGGTCCAAATGGTAAGTTTCTTTTTTAAATTAATAATTGGGTTCTATTTAAAAGTTGAAAAAACCCCTGGAAAGTAGCTGAAAGTGCTCCCCTCTGCCTTTTGAAAGTGGCCTGGGTTTATATCCTCCAAAGAAGTAATACGGAACTTGACATCCCATCTTCTCAGACTGTTCCCTGCATCTTGGTAAAAGAAGCTGATCCTGGCCCCTGATCACCTCGTAATTCCGACAGCAGCTCAGGAGAGCACTGTAAATAGCTGGACAGTCATCGCTGCTGAGGGGAAAGCTCCTGGAACAACTTGAGGAACGACAAAGCACAGCTGTAATTAGCAGCATGGTTCCACCCCGCTTTGTCTTTCACTTTTGCCTTAGGAATGTAATTGAATTATTTTTTGTTGTTGTTGTTTTTTTTTTTAAATATCACATTCTTTTTATCTTCAAGAGCTTTTCTGGAAGGAAGATTAGTAGATTGTTACCACCCAGTGTGAACAATATACCTTAAAGAAGAAGGGCTTACTATATGCAGACTTTCTTATACAACTGTTAGCTCATTCCTCATGCTTCGTAGGCATTGCACGTGACATACCAATATTACAAAAACCAGCATTTAGTGCTCATTTCTCAATAAGCTTATCTTTCCACCTCATATCAGGTTGCAAACCATGAGTTAGACTGTCATATTTTGATTAAGAACTATTGATCAGTTGTGGAAGATCAAATATTTCTATTCCATTTTATTTTATTTAAAGTTTTTGAGATATGCAAAGTGTTGTGTCTGATTGATAGCTGCCACAGAGGGATTAAAAATGTTTTCTAAGAGAATAGTTCTTTGCAGAATACTTTTTTTAAGTAGGTGAATTGAAGACTGGGTAATATAACTTGATTTTGTCTTTTACTTACCTGGAAGTATCTGTATTTAATAACAGAATGTTAGTTAAAGCAGAAGTTTGAAAACCCAATTTTTTTTGTTTTGCCGTATTTTTAAAAGATGATCTCTAAATTATGTACTCAGCTGATTGAGCATGCAAAACTGAATGTGTGGAAAAATATTCCTACATATGATTTCATTCTCTGACTCTCCTGTTATGCAATGAAACAAAAGGTTTTATGTGTTCCTGTTTTGCATATGTAATTTGGAGTCATAATAGAGAAAATATAGTTGCTCTTATCTTCCTTTTACAGGATAATTTACAAAGTTATCCAGTCAACTTCATTTGATGATTGGCTTTGGAAAGATAGAAAACTATTTAATCTGGGTCAAAATCATCCACAGAGCACTTTAAGTTTTCATAGGTGTGAAAAATACATTTTGAGGAGAAACATAAACAGAATATTTTTTTCAGTCTAGATAGTTTCAAATGACAAATATTTTGTCTTTTCTGATTACTCCCTATAATCTCCATGAAACTTTTGTGCAAAATTCAAGTGATTTTTCTAGGATTCTGTAAAACAATGACTCTTCCTCTCCATCTTCTTTACAGAGGGAACAGGAGAATTTAAAAAGCATTCTCTCCAAATGTTTGGATCAGCAAAACTAGCAAAATGGGGATTGAGTACTTTCTTAGTATGATCTCTGCATGAAGACTGGTAAAAATAGATAAGAACATAAGGGAAAATGATTCCATATGGAGAAAAAAAAAAGGGTGGAAATCTTTGGGAGATTTTCAGTTTACTTTTAATTTAAATTTAAGTGTGGTTTCATACGATTTCAGAAGCAGACATTAAAATGAAATGGCAGAACATGGTTCAAAAATAATTTATCAACATTGCCACTATGATGACATATGCCTAAGTACACCATGAAATATTAAGTGTGAATCCCAAGTAGAATTCCAGCTAATGATAGCAAAAAAACCAGGGGAATTGACAAAGGATGGAATAAAATCTAGGCAGTATGTATTGGTCCTGATACTTGAAGTTGTTTGAAATCTGTGGCTCTGTGTTCACTAGTGCTGTAGCTGCGTGTTATCAAATAACCTGGCGGTAAACGTTTGATCTGGATCACACATCACTGCATTATGGCGCTTCAGTTGAATTACCGAGAGAACACGTTATGGTGCTTTATCCTGGCTTGATACTTGATACTAGATTTATCCAACTGGTGGAGGTCG